ACTCATGGACAAGCGTTTGATATTGCAACTGTGTTGCCGTGAAACTTGCTGTCTTTACCTCCCAACTTTTGGGAAATTCCAGGCGGAAATCCACGGGCCCTCACACATGAAAAATCGATAAAATTTCCCCATGAGTTGGATCTGTTACAACTATGTCCGACGAGCTCCTGCCATTATAATGTGTCGTCACTATATGTTTGTTGTATCAAATTTTGACTGGCTCTACACAGGATTACAGAATATATGCATAGTTTTTTGACTGGATAGAGCATTCAATTCTGTTTCAAGTAGTGTATTTGAGAAAATTATTCGTTAACATTTTGGCAAAAAGTTTTGCAAAATATAAGAAGCCCTTAATGTTCTTTCTTTGTAGACGTATATTTCGAACAGAAAATTCGATGAGGCTTTAATTGCAATTTGAAAAAATAGAAAATTCACGAAGAATATATTTTTTATTTTTATTTTATTTTCTATTTTTTCAAATTGCAATTAAAGCCTCATCGAATTTTCTCTTCGAAATATACGTCTGCAAAAAAAGAACATTTTCTTCTTGAGTGAATAGAAACATACTCAGGAAGAATATAAATATGTTTCCATACCTTCAAGGACGAAATTCAAGTTTGTTGCATAATCGTCAAATTACCGAAATCTATGAAAATCTTAGTATTTTTTTTCAACTCTCGATAGCAAATCGATTTCTCCAAGCAAAGTTGTTGCTGACAATTTCATTCACTTTATTGTTTTCTACAGTTCTAGCGATGTTATTAATTAGATATTTATCAAGACGGAACAGGATGACGCAAAGACGATTATTAGTTACATCCACTCGCCTTTTTAATGACAAAACATTTTCTAGAAATCCTGAAAACATAAGCAGAGATTTCTTTTCGTTTATTCCTGAAAGATCACACTCATATAATATTGCTGAGTTCCAGTGACAGTTTAAAGCTCTTTGATCATCTGTAAACTGCAATTTCAAAAAGCTATTCCATCACTGGAAGCGTCTGTTTTCAAAAAGAACTTGACTACTTTTTGTATTTGGCAAAAAATTTTGCCAAAATGTTAACGAATAGTTTTCTCAAATATACCACTTGAAACAGAATTGAATGCTCACTGTGTTCATCCAAGATGAAAGAAAAGTTGCAAAAGTTTTGGTGAAATACAGTAAGGCGCGAAAAATGAGCAAAAATAACTGACTCAAGCTAAGAAAGATGGTTTATATCAATATCGAACACAATCAAAAGAAGATATGATATTATCAAAAAATTAACTTTGTTTTAATTATGCTCATTAGACAGATCGTCTAAAATTTCATAAAGATGCAAATTTATGAGACCTTTGTACCTGAAATAAAGTAAGACATTATTTTTCTACTTAAAGCCATAAAAAGAATGATCTTTCTCTCTTCTGTTTATAATTTTCCCTATTCTTTACACTGATATTATGTTCAGATCACTTGAAAAGTTATAAATATTCTGTGGTAGTTGTTGCAATCGACAATTGCCAATTTGTCACTAAGAAAACAAAAAGTAACAACTAAAGCCTTTTAATGTCATATTCAATTACAATAGAGCAAAAGAATTCAATTAAAAATTATATTTTTAGGAAATCAATTACTTCATATACGACTTCTTTCTCTCTTTTATTCAGTTAAAATCAATCTTCCTCACTTTTTACTCACTTTCAATAACAATGTATGGACCTCTCTATTTTCTGCTTCTGCTTTTAACCTACTGTACTCTAACAGACGGGGCTCACTTTCACGGTGGATCTGTCTCATGGAAACCTCTAAATAGTTCAGCTACTGGTGATACAATTCAAGTAATGATTACACAAAGTTACCAATGGACATGGCCAACTGTGAATTGTGATCAATCAATGATATCTGGACATCAAATAACATCAACTTTCTTTGGCAGTGGTGGAACGGGTGGCTATTTGGTTTGTTCAACCAGCTCTTGTGGTAACTATTCGTCGTTATCCATTCAAGAGTATTGTACAGATTATAGTGCTACTCTTAAATCAATGTCAGGCTCAGTTTCTTCTATTGAATCATTGACGGCTGATTCTCAATTCTGTGTTACATTTTCATCGAGTGCATGGATTGCTGTTCAATCAACAAATTGTGGTTCGAGTGGTAAACGACGAAAACGGGCTTTGTGTGGTATACCTTTTCATCCTGCATGTACTACTACAACACATCACACGACAACATATCACACGACTACACGGCGATCAACAGTTGCTGCAACAACCGTTCCTAGTTGTACAAGTACAGATGCCTCATGGACTGTTACAGCTTGTATTGATCTGACACTGAGACCAGATGGGTACATAAATACACCGCCTGTCGCAACAATAATATCACGTTAGTTATTTTGCCTGAGAGGAGAAATTTGATGTTAACCGAGAACTTAATGTTTTAGCTGTACAAGTTCCAATTAACACTATAACTCAAATAAATATCCCAACAATTGATGCCGATGCCGATGACGTTAGGTGAGAATAACTACTTTGCTTTTTGTTCTGACAGCCCAAAAAATGGCCTGATTAATAAAGGTTAGCGAAAATGTAAAGATTTCTAAGCCAGAGCTGTGCTTCAGCAGCATGCTCTCAAAGAAACATCTAGAGTCAAAAAAGCCGTTCTAATTCGGTTCATTCGGCAGAGCATCCAGACAAGTCTTACACTCTTTTCAACTTTTAGATTATTTTCCTTAACACATTGAGCGCCACGTTTATGTTAATACCACGTGGTGTGAGTTGTATCTAACTCACGCGACAGTCAATGTGTCACTCATTCACTATTTAAAATTCTCACTTAAACATGGGTCTAAGCAAAATATTTTTCAATTTATCAGCCTAAAATTAGCTGAAGAAAAGTCGAATATGTTGAAGTTTTAAAAGCAAAACTTTTCATCTAAAGTGATTTTCATTCCAGCACTTCATGCTTTAACCTAATTTGTTTAATGTCAACTTGTAGAGTAGAAAAGTCTCTAAAGAACTAGATATTGCTCACTGAAATAGCACCACAATTACGTAAAGAAGATTAAAAGAAACAAGTTTTTCACTCAAATTCACCATTATGCCACTAATAGACATTCTAATGTCAAAATTAATGTTATATTTGAAATCAACACGTTAAATTAAGTAGAGAAACACTGGTTTGAAAGATTGTTGAGATGGTGAGTTTTCATGCCTTCTTTTGCTAGCGAAACTTTGAACCTGATATTGCTCGTGTCCGCGTAATTGTGCTACCCCTTCAGTAGAAACTT